AATTATTATATTTATTATTTAAAAACACGTTCTTTTCGGATCTCTTGATTATATATTAATTTAAAGGTGCAATATCAAAGAAGTGGCCATCTAGTGTTGAGGTGTTACTCAAGGATATCTTGCTAAATACCTGTCAAGCAAAAAAGCCAGCTCTGAATCTGTTTTAAATTATTTGAAGTTTCAGAGTTGTCGTCGTCTCTGAAAAGCCAGTCCCATGTTAACATGTGTTTTATTATGGGCTCTGTCACTTTTCCTTTACTCTTCTCTAAACAAGTTTTCTTTATTTTAACAATGGGCATTTCCTTTAGATGGTGATCCATTGTGTTAATGATGTTGCTTATTAGTTATGGCTACAAGCTGTCGGGACTATTAACACACTTCACACTGCAAGCACTCTTAATAGTCAAACCATATTCTTTTTGCTTGCAGACATGACATAACCGCCTAAAGATGACATTTCCCAAGAAATATGAGCTGACAGCTCAAATTATGAATCATTATTATAAGTGTTGTGAATCATGGGGAAGGTTAAAGGTTTAATATTTTTGCTCAATAATTTGCTCAATAATTTATTTTTGTTCATTTTATTTTAAATCTAAAAATATGCTGTAGTTCACTTTGACCAAGTTGAATGCTCACTAAAGACCAGCTGGCTGGAGTTGTTTTTTTCTTTCTTCAATTTAGACATGTCTGAAAATGGTGTATCGGAGTGGGTTAATACTTTGTAAATAGTTCATCCATTTCCACCAGTTTGACCTGTTCAGGCAGATGTGAGGGCCATTTACAAACATCATAAGTGGGCATTGACAGGGTAATCAGTCAATCATAGTTCAGCAGAGGCACCTGCCTCCTCTCACATGACTTTTTGCCTGTATTTTGTAGTTCTGCCCTTCACATTCATGGCATGCTTTAGTGTAATAAGAATACAGTGAAACCAAGGGATGTCAGTGAGGCGCTGCATTCCTCTGAAACTTTATCTGCAGTTGGACTGTGGCCCCGTTTACATGCATTTCAGAAAACGGCTTATTCCAGGGTTGTTGCAAAAAGCAGCACTCTGAAACATCATGTAAACACTTAGTACACCATATCCCTTATGCTTTTGAAGGGATTAAGAGAAAGCAGTTTAAAACTGCTAAATGTTTCCACTGGAGGATGTAGCTTACATGTCATTTAAACAGAAGTGGCATTCTTGCAGATTTTGTAGAGTGTGCATGTGTGTTGAGAAGACAGGATTTTATAGGGATAGATGGGAAGAAACCTGCTCACTCAGCATGTTGCATGTATAGGGGGATTAATAGTGAGCCTAACAGAGTGCATTTATCTTTCTTTCTTTTTTGTTTTCAAACTGTTTAATGAGTGGATAGTAATGCATTTTCAAGATGCAGTGGACCCCACTTACAGCTATATTTAGTGTTGTCTATCACATTCAGATAACCTATAACAGATGTTAATAAAGGTCTAAGTGGGTCTAATGTGTCATTCGGATCTCAAACTTGTGCTGCCAAGCATTTTCGCTCCTCTGCAAACAGTGAGCTGTGAACATTTTCTGTCAAGGAGGATAGATTGTCAGACTGAAGCTTTTTGACAGCTGCTATCGCAGCATTGAAGGTGCTGTCATCTAGGGACTTGAGAGTAAGAAATCGAGAACTGAAGCTTTCAACTCTTATTTCTTGTGTTACTGTCTTTTTCACCTCCACATGGTTCCTTTATCATTATTAATTAGAATTTGGGTCATGCAAACAGAATTTGGCTCAGCATGCAACAGAAACATTTTATGCAGTACCGTTCTGTCATACTGCATTGGCCTGTTTACTGTTTCGATTCTCACAGTGACTTGGCATTAATTTATACAGCCATTTCACACTCAGCGTAAATGTATGTGTGTAGTGAGAAAAGCCATCATTTTCAGGTGCTTTCGTGAGGTTAACAGGAACCTGTATGGAGTCTTCACAACCTGCAGCGCTCCTCTTAACCTCCTGGTGACTGCAGCAAAACAAATGTCACATGCACTAGCCACAATTACTGTTATCTGTCTGCCAGGCTGGGGTTTCCCACTGACTCTACCACAAGGTGCTCTATTAATGTCCACATGATGTCTCCTGCCTCCCTCAGCCTCTTATCTATGTGTTTGGATTTTTTTTTTTATATCCTGAAATCTAGGATGTTTGAGACTATAACACTTTAGAGTGTTGGAGAGCGTTATGTAACTTTTTCCTTTTTTTCTTTATTCTGTCACAATTTATAGGCCTTCATGGTGTTCCAAACCGGTTTGCATTTCTTTCTTCTGTGGAAAACAAATGAATATATTTTGAAAAATGTCTTATTTACTATATCAGTGTCTTAATGACTTTTTTTCATCCATATAACGAAAGTCAGTGGTCTCCAGTGTTCATTTGGATTCATTAGACCCCACTGACTTTCAAAACATTATCTTTTGTGTTCCACTGAAGAAACTCATACGTTAGGATGATTGATTGAAGACACAAATTTCAGTAAAAAATCAGTGTCTCATATCAACTGAAATTAGAACAAAGTGAATAAAATAACACTTTGGTTCAGTGATTCCCACATTTACATTTCAAATGTCTAATTCTTGATCTCATTCCAAAGACAGGAAAATAATTAGTCTTCAATCTATTTGAATGTAGTGAAATAGTTCAGTATTTTGTCTTGCGTTTAGTGGTAAAGCTTAGTTGAGCCACTGGCACAGCTTAACTCAGCAGATACCATTTTAGGGCAAAATGTTTTATTTGATAGCTTATGGCCAATCTCACTGAGCAGAGCAGACGTAGAGCGGTGTGACTGTACCAGGAAAGCAAAACCTTGACTCTTGGAGAGTAGCTACGCTTCAAAAAGTTGCTCAATTTGTCACTAGTTGTCTGAAAAGTCACTTAAGCCCAAAGTATACTAAGACAGTCCTTGCTCCATGTGTCTGATTGGCCATTGTGTTCACACGCACAACAAACATGTCTGTGATTGGCTCCAATGCTCAATGCTGCAAAAACACATTTGACACTGTTCACACAGCGCTGTCACACAAATACAGGAGCGTTTGAAAGCAGCCGTCTATGCTTGTGCGCATACAGTTCATGCTAATTACACTTAATGTCAGTGCACGTGTCCTCACTGCATATTTAATGCAACCTACATGCTGAGGCATAATGTTTATTTTTCACTGCAGTGTTTTTGAGGCTCCTTAATCTCTGTTTAACTAATGTGTGAGAAGATGTCCTGGGAGCCCCAGTGTTTGCTTTGGGTGGTCCTAATATAGCTAAGCTTTCTGTCAGAAGATTGCGGCTGAGCTTACCTATTCCTCTTGCTCTCTCTCTCTCTCTCTCTCTCTCTCTCTCTCTCCTGACACACTAAACTGACTTTGAAGCTACTGAAGTACATGGTCTCTAGAGTGGCCATGCTGTAATTAGTAAACCGAACTGCAGAAGCAATCTGCTTGTTCCTTGTGAGATCCCATTTTCTCTTGCTGCTTGCATATTTAATGCAACCTACATGCTGAGGCATAATGTTTATTTTTCACTGCAGTGTTTTTGAGGCTCCTTAATCTCTGTTTAACTAATGTGTGAGAAGATGTCCTGGGAGCCCCAGTGTTTGCTTTGGGTGGTCCTAGCTAAGCTTTCTGTCAGAAGATTGCGGCTGAGCTTACCTATTCCTCTTGCTCTCTCTCTCTCTCTCTCTCTCTCTCTCTCTCTCTCCTGACACACTAAACTGACTTTGAAGCTACTGAAGTACATGGTCTCTAGAGTGGCCATGCTGTAATTAGTAAACCGAACTGCAGAAGCAATCTGCTTGTTCCTTGTGAGATCCCATTTTCTCTTGCTGCTCTTCTGGCTGAGTCACCGACTCATTTCACACAAACACTCTTTACATTGTAATGTGTTCTCTGTCTCTGTATATTGATTGATGGTTTTAAGGTCTTTGGTCAATAGGATGCAAGTTAACATACATGTAAGGAAAAGGACGAAGTGCTGAGTTTATATATTTTTGCAGCAGCAGGGTGCATGTGCTCTGTTCAATATAGAGTCTCTCTGGCTGGTTTAAAGCCAGAAAAGGGCTTTGGTGTTGTTTTTGTCCCCTGTGGTCACAGATCTGTCCCTGTCAGCTGTTTCACTTGTTCACAGCTCTCTGAGAGCTGAATTCGAGATGCTGCAGCCTTTATTTTGAGACTTTCACTGTAAGCAATATCGCTGTTTGTATTGATGTACTACCTTAATAAGAATTTGGCTGAGAACCTTACTCCTGTAAATGCTGACAGAGCATTCCCTTCAAGTCGTCAGTGTCTTATTATTTGGAAACCGATCACAATGTTTAAAGATGATGTGATGCAGCTATCTGTAGTGTGTAGATTCAGCATAAATTATGTAATACTTGCATACATCATATATGGACCATTTCTGTCACAATGAATCATCTGTGCTTATGTTCCAAGCTGTTTCTCCACAACACCCAGAAAAAGCTTTCAAATACGTGTTTTCCTAAAGTGCACTAACAAGAGGAATAAAGGACTTTTTATTTTTAGTGTAGATGCACTATATATACATCTACATACGTACGTATGTACGTATGTATTTTATTGCGTTTATGTATATTTATTGATATTTCATTTATATGATTTTTACTTTGCACTATTACAGTAGCATGCGACTGACAGCAGTACTGGTGCAAACAGACCTTTAGAAGAATTTCTAAAAGTGCAAAATGTGTACTTTATATAATCCGTTGTATGTCATGTTTTACAAGAAAATCATGTTTTGGTCTGTCTAATGTCTTGATTAATTCAGTGTGTTACTTGCTGTTCCTTTGTAATTATTTGTGAAATTTACTAGCAATTTCTGAGTGAAAATTATTAATGAAAAATAGTAAATAGAAAATAGTAAATCCTATACCTTTTTTTTCTTCTATGTACATTCTCTATTATTTTCCTAAACATTTGATTGATTACTTGACATTGGCATTTAATGCAATTATTTTAAATGTGTCTCCTGCAGAGTGTGGATACAGTGTGTTCGCTGTACCACTCATTCCAGGAAGGCTCTGGAGGTCTGATGGAGGGCCAGGAGCAAACGGGGCCAGAGGCTCCCACGCTCAGGCCCTGTCCACGTCATATGTCTGCCACAGAGAGACTACGCAAGGTCATCCAGGAATTAGTGGACACGGAGAAATCCTATGTAAAGGTGAGAACTGACTCTGTAATCCCCTATTAATATAGTTCAACAGAAAGAAATGAGCTCTCACACGAGTACAGATCCATGCAGTCATCTGTATGATACTCTGACTTCATTAAAACTGAACTGTTTCACCTATTTATTCGGCTCTGTGCTAATATGGAAGTCACATCAGTTCAGTTCTAAACCTCAGTTTAATGAAAGACCCATGAGGTGAAAATGGCTGTTTTCACAGAACACATTTGATGGATAGCTGGAAGAGTCTTCATTGAGTCCCGAAGGACCACCTATTAATTAACTCCTCTAGCTGCTGAATAGAAACGCCTCCCCTCTCATCTGTTTTCTGAATAATCCTGAGGCTTGCATATAAGCGATCGCTTATGTGGTGCCAGTTTTACCCTGCTGATGTTCATGGTGAACCTTTAGATGGCATTAAAACTCTGCTGTAATGGTAATGTGCTCCTCGTGGTTAATAGGTGTCAGGGAGGTGTCTGATTATTCCAGCGCTCTGTGATTTGTGGGAGGGGGAACAGTGCCATCCCAGAGTCCTGTGACGGAGCCATTTGTCTATGATATGCTGCATCGGCAATGGCAGAGTGCTATAAATCAACCTAATGAGAATATTCAGGTTGATGCACCGACAGCCTAGCGATGCCATAACATGGCCACAGCACATAGTGCAGGTTTGGGAGCGGCTTTGAATTTGAATGAAGTTTTAGTGATGCAAAATCATTGAAACCGAAACAGTTAAAGTGACATTTCAGATCTTCTCTGATGGTGCATTTAGACTCTGTCAGTGCTTATTTCGTGCCCACAAGGTTAAGCTACAACAGGTAAACATGCCAGCTGTGTGAGTATGCGCTGGACCGACAATATAGATTTCTCAGCTTTAATTTCGGTTAAAAAATAAAAATTATGTGCTTCTCTAACACTGTGTCTTAGGTAGGGTTTGGAGTCATTACAAAAATTTTGCAATAACGCAACTTAATACTTGAAGGAGAGACTAGGGGTGCAAATCCAACTTTTACATGTAAATTGTACCAAGTGACCTTATTTCATTTTTTCTTAAGTACTGTATGAGGAAGATCCATAATTGGTCCAGATCTGGCAAGAAACTTCAGTATGATTTTGCAAGCTAAGGCATCTTAACACTGCTGGTTTAAAATTATGTCTAAAGAATGTCAGTCACTGTGCTCAAGAATAAATCAGTGTTTGAGTGTGATACATTAACTCTCTCTTTCAAAAACTAGTGAGCTGCATCTGTAGACCGCATTAAGGCATCAAAAACATGTTCCTATCACAAAGACTGCACCAAAAGGTTCTAAGGCAGCATTGCATGCATTTTCATGAAGAAGACATAAACATGCATTGTGTTGAGTCTGAGAATGAACTGGAGGAAGTACTGTTGATTTATCAATATAATTTAGTTTGAATATACAGTTTAATATGAAACTGAACTGTTGAAAAAAAATGCTCATTATGTGTATTTATGCCTGCTATACTGTCATGTTGTGAGCTTATCTATCCATACCAATGTGAAACATTATTAAAATCAGTTGTGATTTGGGGTCTAAAGTGTGCTAAGGGGGCAGGTTAACTCACAGGGTTTTGGAACAGAGCTACTGTGCCATGCAATTGAGATTCTTATGTAAATACATTAACACAGCCTTTGCACTGCAAAAAAAAAGTATACTTGTAGTACTGTATATACAACACGTTGCTAGTTTGCATTGCCTTTTAAAATCAACAAGATGTTTGTTTATATATATATATATATATATATATATATATATATATACACACAAAAAACAAGAGCGTTCATTCAATTTTTTATGTAGTACTGCCCCATTTAAGCTATTAATTTAGTGCAGGTACAACTTCTGTACAAGGAAAGCTTTAGTCTTGTTCCAAATATTTTAATTGAGTTTTTTACGTTTTTAATTACCTTGCGTGTTTTGTTTTTCAGACCTTGTATAAGGATACCGTATTACCCAAAAATAGTAAAACTGTTCTGGAGAAGCTAATTCTAAGAGAGCTCATGAATGTAATATTGAGCTGTTTCTTCTTTACAGGATCTTAACTGCCTGTTTGAAATTTACTTGAAGCCCCTGCAAAAGGAGACCTTTCTCACCCAAGACGAGGTAAATCAAATCCTATACTAGAGCTAGTTTCAGGGGATCAGTGTTGGATTGAGTTGTCACAGAAGGCACAGTCAGTGATACATCTTGGGTCATTTGCCACAAGCTTGCATGTCCCCACTAATGTGACTGATGCTAAAGACTTGCACATTCAACTTGCCAGCTTTCAGCCTGCCGCCTGGTGAACTGGATATGACCCTGACATGACTCAGGATATCTCTGAGGAAAGATCAGTCAATATGTGCCAAGGAGTGGGCCATATTAAAGCCCCGTTAATGGACACTAGAGCATGCCCTTGCACAAATTAGACAAGGACTAAACATAAAATGGCTTTAACGCTGCTTCTTAAGTTACTAGTGACAATTTGAGTGGCAATAAAATTTTAGCAAGGGGCCTGCGAAATAAGGAGCTAGCACAACTAAAATGAAATCTGCCGATTTAAATCCATTTTCTGTGAAGTACTAAACTGTACCCTGTGAAGTAATTTTTAATCACATAATAAAGTTGTAGCTTGCATGCTTTTTTTTTGTTTGTTTGTTTTTCATACTTTTTTTTTTTAATGGTTGTGGATTTTCTTTGCCCAGATGGAAAGTCTATTTGGCAGTCTTCCAGAGATGCTGGAGTTCCAGAAAGTTTTCCTGCAGACCCTGGAGGAGAAGATTAGTTTGTTCCCCAACTTTAACATGCTCGAGACCCCTTTACAATTCAAGGTGGGCATGCTAAATGCATTCATTTCTTCATTAATACTGTCCTCTGTAATATACAAGACATACACCGCATTTTAGTAGAATAACTTAGCTTTTTTTTTTTTAAGTTGAAGGAATAGATCACCCCCAAAAATGAAAATTCTTTTATCATTTTACATTTATGTTTTTTCCTCCATGGAATACAAAAGGATAGGTTATGATTTTTTTTTTTAAAGCCATTTTTTATGAGGAACAGGACAGGGTTTAACTAAAACTACTAAAAAAATCTTTAATTGAAAAAAGGTAAAATAAACTACTTAAAATGAAATAATTTTAAGTCAAAGCAGTTTGAATATGGGCAAATGTAAATGAGATTTGTGCAGTAAGTTGGAGGGCAAGATTTTCATGTAATAACAGCTTAAAAATTGGCACCAGTTGGGGTATAGAGCATGAGTCATATGGACTTTTGTTTGGTTTCATTATGGCAGCTCGAGCTGTGAAATATCTCCTTTTGTGCTCCATGGAAGAAAATCAAGGTTTGGAATCACATAAAGTGTTGGTATCTGATTCAAATTTTCATTGCTGAGTGAACAGTTCCTTTAAGGGAATCAGGCTCAAATGAAAGTCTTTTGTGTCAAGTTCGCTTCTTTACTGCCATTGCTGTCTTTTTGTCTTATCCAGAAGCTGCTCTTCTCATTGGGTGGTTCGTTTTTGTATTATGCAGAGCACTTCAAACTTTACAGTGGCTTTTGCGCCAACCACATTAAAGTGCAGAAGGTTCTGGAACGAGGTACAGCACAACACATTACACCTCAATCACATCAATCTATAGATTATTACATATTGAATAATTGAACCAATTTCTCTCATTCTGTATGGGTGCTTCTGAAATGTTATAGGCTGGCAGTGTCACAACACCAGGAGCCGTTGTTGGTTTATCTTTTCATTATTTCCTACCGAGTATTAGTGATTAGTGACTATAAATGTTGAATATAATTTATGTGTGAAGCATTAGCCTGGTTTTCAACTTGGGCAAACTGCCCAGTTAGAAATGAATGAGAGGCTGCCCTGCCCACATTTAAAGTGGAGAACTGTACCTCGGCCTCCTTTTTAATTCATCCCATTACAAGAGGAGAGCAATCCTCAGAGCAGCCCCTGAAATTGCACTTTGAAGACTATAAGAAACAACACGCTCGGTTTAACCACTGCGGGGTAAGGACATGAAACGTGGAGCTTGCACTGCAGATGCAACAACAGGAGTGTGTGTAGCCGTCTGTCAGCGGTGCTTGTAATTATATATTCTCACACACTGCTTCTGTTGTGCCAAGGTTTCCGTTTGCAAAGCAAAAATTACTTTTTGTGTCGACTTGTTAATTGCCTGCCAATTGCTCCCTGAAGTGTCAATCCATCTGGGGCGAGGAGTGCCTCAATTACTGCTCTAATAGCTCCTCTTGATTTGAACGAAATTGCGAGTGATGAATTTATCATTCTGCGTGCTGTAGATGCGGTGGTAGTGGTTAACTCCCCTCACAAACTCCTGCCAAAACACTCGTTCAGTGGCGATACAATCTAGATCCTTGCTACTCACCTTGGTGTTGTTCATTGTCTGCAGTGGTGCATTTATACTGCAGTGGTTCTAACGAGGTGTCAGAGAGCCTGTGCTGCCTCCTTGTGGATGGATTTTGTGCCCTGTGTGCATTGCCTAAAGCCATTTACCTGCGGCGGCCATTAAGAACATGTTATTTCTAGCTCGGTGGGTGGTGCTGGCATTTATGAATTCTCTTTTGTCTTCAGCTAAAACGGATCGGTCGTTTAAGGAGTTCCTCGATGCAAGGAATCCAACCAAGCAGCACTCAACCACACTAGAGTCCTACCTAATCAAACCAGTGCAAAGAGTACTGAAATACCCCCTGTTGCTCCGCGAGCTGGTGTCTCTAACGGACACGGACAGTGAGGAACACTACCACCTCACAGGTAGAGGGCTTGCTTTTGCTCACTGTCTAGATGTCTGGTTGTGGGTCGGTTATTGAGAATTAAAGGGGTCATATGATGTTGCTAAAAAGAACATTATTTTGTGTATTTGGTGTAATGAAATGTCTTTATGCGGTTTAAAGTAAAAAAAAACATTATTTTCCACAATGTACATTATTGTTTCTCCTCTATGCCCCGCCTTTCTGAAATGCGTCGATTTTTACAAAGCTCATCGGTCTGAAAAGCGAGGTGTGCTGTGATTGGCCAGCTATCTAGTGCGTTGTGATTGGCCGAATACCTCAAGCGTGAGACGGAAATGTTACGCCCCTTACCATACTGTGATGCCCTGTCCGGCCGGAGCGACGAGACAAAAACATTAAAACACATTATAAACGAGGCATTTGTTGCGTCCAGTGGGGACATAATTACGGATTATAATGGCTTATTCTGTGTTTTTACGTGTTGCATTGCATCGCGCCGCGTAAACATAAAACCAAGTCCGCGTTTGTGATCGGAGAAATGACAAACAAGCGCTACTCTACACTGCTCAAAATTTGCGTTTGTATCATCAGTGGCAAATCCTTTAAATATAAAAACGTACTTACAGTCTGTGAGTCAAAATAGCCGGCATTGTAGTCTACTCTACCAGCATCAGGAAACAGTCCTCCATAAAATGTGCTGCACACATCTGAATATTTGGGTTAAACTGTTCTGGAACAGTGTTGTAAATACAACTTAACCACTGATTTCTACTCGTGTCCCCTTTTGGAAGACCAAACAAAGTAGTTTCACTTTCACAACGAAACACGCGGCGGGCTAGAGTGAGCGGAGGCCGACGGCTAGAGTGAGCGGCAGTGGGCGGGCTTGAGAACGGCGAGGCCGGCGGGCTTGCGGCAACCACATGTGACGACAATGTGCAAAAAACCACAGCGCGAAGTTGATGTATTCCCTCAGCGACCAGCACAGATCAGCTCCAGGCATGACAAAGCGGATATCGTCCTCTTTTGGAAGACCAAACAAAGTAGTTTCGCTTTCACAACAAACCACACAGCGTCTTCACGACATGGCAGCAGCAACAATACTACAGCAAGAATAAAAGTTAATCCTCCTTTCTTTGCGTGAACATTTGGGAGGCGTTATGCAAATCTTCCCACATCGTGACGTAGACATGTGGGGGTGTGTTAGAACGAGCCATTTTAGGTAGGCGTGGCTGACTCTTAACTTTTATAAAGAATATCTCTTTGGATTTGAGACTTTAGTCTTTGCAACTTTACAGATCTTCTTTATGCACCAAGAGCTTGTAACACTCCAAAGAGAGAGGAAAAATTGAAATCGCATCATATGACCCCTTTAAATAAGTTTACACAAGATATTTTCATAAAATCCCCAAGCTGTCCATTTACATATTATGAAAGCATGTTGTGACCAGAGCCCAGAGCTTTCAAAATAACATTTATTGTGTTGTGTAGAAAGTTTTCAATTACATGAGGATAAGCAAATGATTGAAAATGCAATTTTTATGTGAGCTAAACAGATGGAAGACAAGTAATTATTCCCAGTAATGTTACTAACGTCTGATAAGTTTTTTTTTTTTTTCAAACTCCAGTTTGAGTTCACAGTAATTTTGACAGCTGTTTTTAGAAATCAAAGCCCAGAATGAATTATTTTAAGACCTTTTTTTTCTTATTACAGAGGCACTGAAAGAAATGGAAAAAGTCGCAAGCCACATAAATGAAATGCAGAAGATCTATGAAGACTATGGTGCAGTATTTGACCAGCTGGTAGCAGATCAAAGTGGCACTGAGAAAGAGGTACAGCTCCACATACAGTCTGAACACATCTGGGTAATCCCTTGATTTAACAGGATATTCAATCATCATCTGTCTCTCTCTTCCTTTTTTGTCTCAGGTCACAGAGATTTCTATGGGACAGTTCCTCGTACATTCCTCAGTGATCTGGCTCAACCCGTTCCCATCGCTGGGCCGTATGAAAAAGGATCCCGAGTTGAATGTTTTTGGTGAGGCTCTGGTCTTTTCCCATGAAACCATATTTTTATATAAAGCATTTTTCCCATGAAACATTCTTATCTTTCCATGTGCCAAAGTAAATGTTTTATCTTAATATATTAAATAAATAATGCAAATATTAAGATTTTGTCACGCGACACTCAGCTTGAACTTCACACAGAACTTTTTATAGATCTAAGTATGTTAGGCTTGTTTCAGATATATTGGCAGCAGTTCTGCAGCCTCAAAAACAAACAATTCTGTTCTTCGAATGTAACAAAGGTCATAGCAATCAATTCCCTCTAAAGTGCCAGAACAAAGAAATTTGAGTAGCTGTGCAGCAAGTTAGGAATAGAAATAGGGTGTCTGTCAAGTGTCGCAATGCAGTGTTTCATCAGAGATACTGCACATCAACAATGTATCTTAAACAAGATCTCAACATTCATGACTGCATTCATTTGTGCCCCACAGGTTCTTCTCGACCCTTTTTGCTCTCCAAGCAGCCTTCAAATGACAGTTCCAACCCCAACAATGATCTTCTGGGGCTGTCTCTACCAGATTCAGATTCAGCCAGTGTAAGCAGTGGAACCACCAGCAGTGTCAGCGCTCCCCTGGATCAGCCGTCATGTCACTCCCAGAGCGGCCTCAGAGAATCCAACATCATCAGTGACAATGAGACCAATGACCAGGAGTGGCGAGACTGTCCCAGTGCTATCGAGGCCCAGTTCTGCAGGCTTCGGCTGACCGAGGAGGCCTCCCAGGCGCCTGCTCCCCATGTGCTTCCAGAGAGCGGAGAAGTGGACACTCCAGAAAGGCAGTGTTCTATAAAGCGAGCTCACTTCAGCGCGGTAAAACGCAAGCCTGGCAGAGGCACGAGTAGCTTCAGACACAGCCAGGCGGCCCTACTGAACATGCGTCGACATAGCCACTCTTTGGACAGCCAGACTGAGACAATGGCAAATAACGTGGACCTTAACTCACTACTGGAGAAGGAGTTCAGCGTGCAGAGCCTGACCTCTGTTGTCAATGAGGACTTCTTCTACGACAACACCGCGGAGGCAAAAAACGTGACTACTTCATAGTGTCTGTCACCTGGCCACCAAAAAAAAAAACTTAGCGTGGCTTCAGAGCCTATGTGCTTGACCTGGTGTTGAGCCACATTATCCCACGCAGCCTTTCTAAAGTTATTAGCCAATTCAGGGAAGCAACTGAGGCCAGACAATTCATTTGGACCTTTTGTGGAACCACAGTTTGACAGACCTTCATTCAAAATGGTGTGAAGTGTTTCATAATTCTCCATGATCCACAGCACTAATTCACTGAACTGGCCACATTGCAACTGTTTTGCACCAGCGAACCAAATTACCTGCCTTCACTCTTTTTACATGGCATCCTGATGCAAAACTAAGACCAGTCTGCTCTCCCACACACATACTAGGAGCTATCCAGCAACAAGAACCGAATTCTGTCAGGTTTTTAATTTTGCCTTGTGTTTTGGACACTACATAGGTTTAAAGCAAGAAGCATTGCTTCTATTTTTGTCATGGGTTTGCTTTGTATAAACTTTTATTTATTAGCAAGTTTCTTTTTCACAGGAATCCAGAATGTTGGGTTAAGACTTTGGCAGGAGATCTCAGTGGACAAACTACTTTTGTTACAAAAACATGGTCAGTTGTAAACAATCAACCTGGACTTTAAATGTGCTATGCTGGAAATGTAAATCTGAAATAAAGCCTGCAGTTGTTGTTTTTTTCAGAATGTTTAAATGTGTAAATAGTATTTTTTTTTCATGGATTACTGTAACTTAATTTTAAGAGTTTACTGTTGATACTTCACAGCCAAAAACTGTAATAAAAAGGTGTCTGATTACATTGCTGGATTGTTTTTGTCTTGATTTCCTGTTTTCTGCAAAAAAGCAGCAAATATTTTTTGTTTGATAAAAACAAAGGATTAAAATACACACAAAGTGACAGACAACAGAATCACTTTCAGCATTTGATTTGTCTTCATATTGTTAAGAGTCAATGCAAATCTTAACACACATGAAAAAATAATTTATTCATCCATCAAATTATTTTTAGGTAACAATGGCACATTTTTTTTTTCTCTGACATGACTGTCAGCCTCTAGCTGTAAAATGATTAAAGCACTCCCATAGCTGCTTTCTGATGTGACAGGTTTTCTGGGCAACCCTCTCTCTTCCTCAATTCCAGTTCCTAATCACCCTCTCTGTATTGAACTGATTAATGTAATTTTCGTTCCTAGCTACAAAACAGCTTTGTGATAATTCAGTGTTCTTAAACTATATCTCCCATAACTTAAATTTAATCCCCTTTCTTCGTCTTTTTTAGCTGAAAATTTTCAGCTGAAGCTTCATTTACCGCACTGCTGGCTAGTCTTTTACATACCGCAAGCATCCATTCAAAAGACAAAAAAAAAATAAGCAAAACAAATTCATGCCAGCTGATGAAACGCCATTATGAGTCTGCTGTGTTAGTGGTTGTCAACATTTTCCTCTACTGTGGTGTGAAGGTTAAGTCCTTTACGGTTGTTTCCCAACTGTCTCTTTGCCTGATGCTTGAGTTTCAGTTCCTCTCTGAAGTCATAGTCGATGAGGCCTTGGTTCTCCTCGCAAAGCTTACTGTAGGCGTCTGCTAAAGCCCTGAATTCAGAAATAGAGATCTCTGTGGGCCGCAGTGTGGGATCCACATCAGCACTGCACAGCAACTCTTCCGTCAGTTCTTGACGCTGAGACTCTGGGAACAGCATCCTGCAGCAAAGAAGAAAAAAACAGTCATCACATGCTGACACAATGAGTTAACGTACAAAACTTGAGAAGTGGCATGGAAGTGACGTTATATGGTCTGTGCGGATGTTCGCGTAGCGCTCGTCAAATTAGAAAAGCTGCGACACAGTTTATGTTGCTGGTGAAATTACAGATGTTCTCCCTCACATTCCACCCCTCAGTGACACTAATTGTCGAGCTCCTTCCCAACTTCCTGCAGCATTGAGCTCCAACCTGCCCCAACACACCTGCCTGGAAGTTTCTAGTAATCCTGAACACCTTGATTCGCTTCAGATTCAACTGTGTTTAATTAGGATTGGAGCTGATCTTTGAAGGACAGTAGCCTTTCAGGAGCGGGACTGAAATAATTTCAATGCATGTATTTAACGTTTTGCTGGATGAACACTCAACACCAAGGTACACAACAGTACAAGCAATTGTGCGTACTGTACTTCATATCTCTGTATCCACCCTGACTAAAATCCATGAGAATAGAGGTAAAGAGAGAGGAGTTTGGGAAAAGTAGTTTACAGAATACCAGTGAAATGCTTACTCAAGTCCTCTGCGGCAGTGCTTCCTCCGGAACTGGAAGGCGTTCTTGACAATCCTCTCGACCAGCTTAAAGGGCTGCTGGATCTGGGGCTGAGCCAGCGGAGTGAAGTGCACCACCCCCACATCCACCTACGCAGGGTGACGAGATGAAAACACACACACACATACAACAGTGTTACAGTCAGACCTGGAGACCATTTTCACAAGCTACTCCCACTCGAGTGAGGGGGAGAAACGGAATGGAAACAAGCGCAAGAGGGATATACGAGTGAAGAAAAGCAGAGGGTTGGGAGAAGAGGCTGTGGGTGATGCTGCACGATGACAAGCCAGTTCTGGTTGCTACAGTAACACCTGTTTGAAGGACCATCAAAACAAGCCTCTTCAAACGTGAATAGTAAGTCTCTTGTTACACTGTTGCTTCCTAAATGTTCTTATATCCACAGTCTAGTGATGATGTAGGGGATGCTTCAGCTTCTATCTCCCCTGGTTCTCTGATCAGCACTAAAGGACAGTGCTTCTTTTCATTATGCAAAATCGACACAGACGTCTGCTGTGCCCAGGCTAAAACCTGTTTCTCTTGTGTAATTGTAGCAGGAGGCATCATTTTGGTAGCTCCAGAACCGTAGCTCCGACCTGTAGCAGAACAAATTGTTTATCTGTATTAATCCAGAGTGCGGTTTCTGAATTTAATCGATTAAGTGAAGCTCAATGATAAACACCTAGGGGATATAGTAGTAATAATTTGCCTTAAATTATAGAAATGTGCTGGAATGCCCCCAGAATGGTGACATGTGATGAAGATAACGTAGATACGGATGAAAATGTAATTAGTTAGGTGATAAAGAGAAAATGCACATTGATTTGTCCTGCATTTCAGCAGGATGCCTTACTGTGATTTAACATACTGTAAACCCAGCGGGTTGTGTTGCAATCATGCAGGACTCTTGGCTTCCTACTTTGGCTAGATTCTTCCACTTGGGCTCATTTTAAATAAATTGCGAGCAGGATACAAGGCTTTGAAGAGCCCTTCTGGTGTTTAGGGCTACAAAACAGCAATACACTGGAGATGACAGAGAAGGAAAGATGTGACGAGAGCTTTCAGAAAGCATTGACTCATCTGCCTCGGCTATGCAGAAGGAGAACCAACATTCAAGAAATCAATTTGGCCACCTGTCATTTACCCGGCTTGGGATGCTGGTTTTAGAATGACACTTCATCCCTTCCCTCCGCGAAGGCGTCTGAAATTTTGACCAGGTAGATTAAGTCCCTAAGAAGTCACAAAGAAACACTGAGCAATATGAAATATTTACAGCTCAGGATTTAGAAGCAACCGCATTGAGTTATGCATGTATATACACAAACTAGCTTTCCTGTAATATACCCCCCTCCCCTTTCCTCAAGTTTAATCCTGGTAATAATGCAGAACACAAATGGCCTATACACACAGATATGGGTCAATTTCAGCAAAAACTCATTAATAACAGTTGCACACATTAGGCCTAAAAGTAAAACTCAACAGCACCACTAGACTATATATTTACTAGGGCTGGGTAAAAAATATGGATATCTCAATATTAATCGATTCTCATTTTTACAGAACGATATCGATTCTTAAATCCCAAGAATAGATTAGCCTATTCTAGCCTGTTTTCAGTTAATGAACGGAACATTGATTGAAGGACACTTCCCAACCAATTAATCGCAATAAGCATTGTGCTTTGGTACTTTTAATATGAAACAAAGTGTCAGATTTCAAATTCTGTCCATTGTATTGAATCCGTGTATCATTCGATCATTCGTTTTTTGATTTAATATTGAAAGTAGAAAAATGAGAAAACGGCTCCTTTTTCGTTTTTTTGTTTTTTTTCCAAAAAACAAAAAACGAGAATTCAGCTAAATTTTAATTTTTCGTTCATGGGTGGAAAAATGTATAAACAGCTTGAATATTCAATTTCTACACGTGGGCGGGAATTAAATGCCCATTTCTGCTGATTGGTCAGTCGAAGATCAAACCGTGCCATCATCAGTTCTTCCGCAGTATCACGCAGCAGAATAATAGTCCTCCACTGCTGCAGTTGTACAGATTAATAACCCATTTTAGCTATTTCAAATTTTTCATCAAACAAAGAGTAATGAATAGCTCGACACAACTCGTACAGGGGCAGAGTCTAGACAGGTCTTTCTTCTGTGTAGACCAGCGGTTCTTAAAGTGATAGGGGGTCCGAGAAATAATTTGCTATAGCCTAAAGTATTTAGGTGGAGGACTATTCTGCTGCGTGATACTGCGGAAGAACTGATGAAGGCAAGGTTTGATCTTCGGCTGACCAATCAGCAGAAAGGGGTGTTTAATTCCCGCCCACGTGTAGAAATCGAATATTCTTCTTAAAGTGATAGGGGGTCCGAGAAATAATTTGCTATAGCCTAAAGTATTTAGGTGGAGGACTATTCTGCTGCGTGATACTGCGGAAGAACTGATGAAGGCAAGGTTTGATCTTCGGCTGACCAATCAGCAGAAAGGGGTGTTTAATTCCCGCCCACGTGTTGAAATTGAATATTCAAGCTGTTTATTCATTTTTCCACCCATGAACGAAAAACGAAAATTTAAGCTGAATTTTCATTTTCGTTTTTTGGAAAAAAAAAAGCAGTTTGCTCATTTTTCTACTTTCAATATTAAATAAAAAAAAACTAATGATCGAATGATACACGGATTCAACAGAATGATCAAAAAACAGAATTCATCAACAGAATTCATCAAAAAAACAAATGATCGAATGATACACGGATTCAACAGAATGATCAAAAAACAGAATTCATCAACAGAATTCATCAAAAAAAACAAATGATCGAATGATACACGGATTCAACAGAATCCGTGTATCATTCGATCATTCGTTTTTTGATTTAATATTGAAAGTATAAAAATTAGAAAATGGCTCCTTTTTCATTTTTTTTCCGAGAAAGAGAATTCAGCTTAAATTTTCGTTTTTCGTTGATGGGTGGAAAAATGAATAAACAGCTTGAATATTCGATTTCTACACGTGGGCGGGAATTAAACGCCCCTTTCTGCTGATTGGTCAGCCGAAGATCAAACCGTGCTGTCATCAGTTCTTCTGCAGTATCATGCAGCAGAATAATAGTCCTCCGCTGCTGCAGTTGTACGGATTAATAACCCATTTGATCAATTTCATATTTTTCTCATCAAACAGACTAATGAATAGCTGAACATAACTCGTGAGGGCAGAGTCTAGACAGGTCTTTCTTCTGTGTAGACCAGCGGTTCTTAAAGTGATAGAGGGTCCAAGAAATAATATAGCCGAATTATTGCTATAGCCTAAAGTATTTCCAGACTGTAAAGTCGTTTTTTTTTATCATGATACATAGGCCTACTGTGATTTATTCCAAAGTGACTTATATGATGCTTTTAATGTAAAATAATCTAAATTAAGCCTTTTAAAAGACTAGTATTCCCTGTGGTTCATGTTTGTGGCATGCACCAGAAAGATGCTCAGCTGATGCAAAGAATAGAATTTATATCTACACAGAAGAAAGCCCTGTCTAGACTCTGCCCCAGTATGAGTTGTGTTGAGTTATTCATAAGCCTGTTTGTTTGATGAAAAAAAAGATTAAATGTAGTTGCAATAAATGTGTTAAGAATCC